ACCAGGAATACAGAGCATCACTTGCCCCAGCCTGAGAGTTCCTATCTATACCTTGTGGCTAATAGCCACTGATGGACTTCTGCTCCATATGCTTATCTAATTCCCTCTTGAAGCCGTCCATGCTTGTAGCCGCCACCACCTCCTGTGGCCGTGAATTCCATGTGTGAATCACTCTTTGGGTGAAGAAGTGCTTCTGTTATCTGTTCTAACCTGGCTGCTCAGCAATTCATGGAGTGCCCACGAGTTCTTGTATTGTGAGAAAGGGAGAAAAGTACTTCTTTCTCTACCTGCTCTATCCCCTGCATAATCTTATAGACCTCGATCACGTCACCCCTCGGCCGTCGTTTCTCCAAGCTAATAAGTCCCCCCTCAGCCTCCTCTTCTCCAGACTGAACCTTCCCAAGTCCCTCAGCCTTTCCTCTTAGGGCTTCTTGGTCTCCAGGCCCCCAATCATCCTCGCCACTCTCCTCCACACCCGCTCCATTCTGCCCACATCCTTTCGGAAGTGAGGCCTCCAGAACTGCACACAAGACTCCGGATGTGGCCGGACCAATGCAGTGTCCATCAGGACTATCACATCTTGCGATCTGGGTGTTCTTTTGGCTTTTGCAGGTTCTGTGGCCAAGAGGCCCCTGCCACCATCAACACCAACTCTAGCTGGATGCAAGTCACCTTTGTCTCCTACGGGATCACAACCTCCTCAGGCTTCACTGCCCAGTATCGAGCGATTGCACCGAGTGAAAGTAAGCGCACCCCGTTGTGGGGGAGGGCGGGAAGAAGCAACTCCCCCAGCAAGTTAATCGCAATCCTTCCGGATGCTCTATCCAGACCCCCGCAGTGTTCCCTCTAAGCTGAGTGAGTGTGAGCTAGCTCACAGTTTTTTAGCCTCCGGCTCACACATTTTGGTCTTCGCTCGGGAAGGAGGGCTCCAGAGAGCAAACTAATTTATGCAGCAGCCAAATCACTCGCTCACAACTTTCATGCCAGTAGCTCACGAAGCAGAATTTTTGCTCACAAGACTCCACAGCTTAGAGGGAACATTGGACCCCGGATAATTTGGCAAAGATCTCCTGATGAGAGCTACATCGTTGCACGGAGTGTCCACAGCATGAGCTCCAAGGTCTGGTCCCTGCCTCAAGGAGCTTACAGCCTTAAGTCAGAGGCGGTCGAGGAGAAGGGTGGGATGATGTGATGGTAAGGAGGGGAGGAACTCCCAGCCAGGTCACCACCCCCTATATATGGGGGTGTTGGCCAGGTCCCGCATAAAGGATTGGCATGCTTGGCCATCGGCCATGGCCCACAGTCCAGCCAAGTGCCCTCTGCTGGCCAGAGACGCAGGGCCCATTCGCTGCCACCAAGAATGCGGGATCAAGACTGAGGATTAAGGCCAGAACACCCTGCCGCTCTGGGGGGGTCTCTCCCATTTCATGCTGGGCAGGGGTCATTTCGTAGAAAAAGAGGTGCAGGAGCTTATTAGCATAACTCATTAGCATAACTTATTTGCATATGCCACACCCCCTGACATCACCGGAAGTGTGTCAGAAGGCACCACCCACCACTCAGGCTCCACTGGACTGTTTTGGATTGCTATCTATTGGGGGGGGGGAACGTGCAGATCTGTCCTCGCAGAGGAGGGAGAGCTTGTACCTGAACAAAACTTGACCTCAAAGGTGTCATTGGACTGTTTTGGACCGGGGGCCGGGGGGGGGGCTCTGCAACTTACCTGGCTGCTTCTTGCTCTGACTGAGGGCTGTTGGGAGCAGGGGGTGGGGCCTGTTGCACGTGCCCGCCCCCTGGGCTCTTTACTGCCGGAGCTCCGCTCCTGTGCGCTCCTGCAGGAAATGACCCCTGATGCTGGGAGAGGTGACTAGAGGGAGCAACGTTTTTGTACTCTGTTTAGCCTTTCTAGCACCGGCAGGGCTTTAAGGACCACAAAAGGGGGTGAATTCCACTCATTATTCCAGGAGTGCACACACAAGTACACAACAAGGGGCACTGGGTGGATACTTTGCCCACCTGGAGTCACTCCTGAAGAGCACCTTCCCATCCAAGTATAAGGGGATCAAGGGGAGGGACCCTGGCTCAGCAGCAGCAAGCAGACGGTCCTGGGTTCAATCCTCAGCATCTCCAATAAGTATCAGGTCATAGGTGAGACCCTGGAGAGCGGCTGCCAGTCTGTAGGCAATCGATGGTCTGGTTTAGAATAAGGCAGCTTCATGTGTCTATGCGTGTTTGGGGAATGGCCACGGCTCAGTGGCAGAGCATCCGCTTTGCATGCAGAAAGTCCCAGGTTCAATCCCCGGCATCTTCAATTTTAAAAGGATCAGGCAATTGGAGTTGTGAAAGACTTCTGCCTGAGACCCTCGAGAGCAACTGCCAGTCTGAGTAGACAATACTGACCTTGACAGATCAGTGGTCTGATTCAGTATAAGGCAGCTTCGCGTGCTTCAAAGCATTTTTTGCAACTGATATTTGAAACAAATTCGATAGCTGTCTCCACTGGGTAGTGTTGCCAACTTTAGGCTGAGTTTTGTAAAGCCAGTTTGGTGTGAGAGCCAGTTTAGTGTAGTGGTTAAGTGCGCGGACTCTAATCTGGGAGAACCGGGTTTCATTCCCCATTCCTCCACTTGCACCTGCTGGATGACCTTGGGCAAGCCATAGGTCTGTCAGAGCTGTCCTTGAAAAAGAGCCGTTTCTGTCAGAGCTCTCTCAGCCCCGCCTACCTCACAGGGTGTCTGTTGTGGGGAGGGGAAGGGAAAGGAGTTTGTAAGTCGCTCTGAGACTCCTTTGGGTAGTGAAGGACGGGGTATAAATCCAATCTCTCCTCCTTCTTCTTCTTCCATCAAAAATGGTGGGACAGAAAATACAAAGGAATGTTCCATCCACCAGTTGCCTGGGCATTCAGTTACAACGCAGCAGCATACCGTCTGCTAATTTTATTCCCCAGGCATAGGAATTTCCTGGGTAAAGGGAAGGAACCAAAAGATATTTATTCAAACTGGGGGAAAAAATTAAAATGTCACAGTTGAACACACGGTGCTGCCTTTTGCTGAATCCGACCTTTGGTCTATCAAGGGCAGTATTGTCCGCCCAGACTGGCAGTGGCTCTCCGGAGTTTCATGCGGAGATCTTTCATATCACCTGCTGCCTGGTCCTTTTAACTGGAGATGCTGGAGACCGAACCTGGGAACTTCTGCATGTTAAGAAGAATCTCTGCTGTTGAACCACAGTCCCTCTATCTCCATTGCCCAAATAACCAGAGGTCATTTCGGGGGGGATTGCGGGGGATCGCAGTTCCCCCGGGTGAGGTACGGGGGGTGGGGCACATGACGAAGCCCCGCCCCCTGCTTCCGGCCGCCCCGCTTCCGGCCCTCATTCAGCCAGGAGGAGGCAGGAGAAGAGGGAGGGTAAGTTGCTTCCTCCCTGCCTCTCCCCACCCCTGCCTGCCTGGGGCCAGGGAGGGCCTTCGCGGGGCTTCTTTGCACTCCCGCCGGCCTTGCAGGTCCACCGCCGGGCCCCTCATGGGGCTCAGCAGTGGAGCTGCAAGGCCGGCGGCGGCAGCCGGGACCGTTGGGGGCGGGGTGTGTGCCCTTATGACACACTTCCGGTGATGTCAGGGGGTGTGGCATATGCTAATGAGTTATGCTAATGAGTTCCCCTAGCTCTTTTTCTACGAAACGACCCCTGCAAATAACCACACGGCTGGCTCTTCTATAACTGGGCTGAGATGGGTAGTTGTGTGTTGGTCTGTCTATAGAAAAGAGCAAGAGTCCGGTAGCACCTTAAACTAGCCAAATCTGTGGGCAGGGTAGGAGGTCACTGCTCACTTCTTCAGAACGTCTTTTCTATAACTGGGCTAAGGGCGTCGAACAGAAGTCTCAGAAAACCACAGTTCCCAAGATCCCTTGTGGTTTCCAGATAGTTTCAAGTCGGTTTGAATGGTCAGCTCCTCCTCCTCCAAGGTATTCCTCTGTTCTAGAGAACTGTTCCTGGGGCGAGTTTCTCTGTGACGGCGGACTCTGCCTCCTCCAGGCCTCCGTGTGCGACGGCCTCTACCACTGCATCGACAAGAGTGACGAAGCCAACTGCAGCACCAAGCACCACGGTGCGCTTACACGGCTCAGGCGAGAGACCCACGCTGCAATGGGGCACTGTGAGAATGGGAGTGGGGCAGGGAGGCCTGCAGCATGAGGTGGGGGTGCAACATTTCCGGGGGGGGGGCTAGTCCCTCCTCAGTCAATTTCCACGGAGGGGAAAAACCCCACTGCTGGACCTCCTGATGGCACCGGGTATTTTTGGCCACTGTGTGACACAGTGTTGGACTGGATGGGCCATTGGCCTGATCCAACACTGGCTTCTCTTATGTTCTTAATAGTGATGCCCTTCCCGGGGAAGGTCTAGTCCCCACCTGAAACAAAACTGAGAGCCCTGTTTTAAGTTACCCCTTTAAGCTTGTAGTCTCTAAAAGGGGAGTTTTGGAAAGCTGGAAAATTTCAAATTCTCGAAACAAGCTCCCATCCTTCAAGTGGAAACCGTCAGGGCCTTTTTTGTAGAAAAAGCCCAGCAGGAACTCATTAGCGTAATAGGCCACACCCAGCAGCAGAAACCTATTAGCATATTAGGCCACACTCTGACAGTGTGGCTCATTAGCATATTAGGCCACACCCCCATGTCTTCCCTTGGCCTGCCCAGGCAAGCCCCCCCCCCTTGGAGGGGAGGGGAGGCAGTTTAAACTGCCCTCTCTTGGCTTGCCCAGGCAAGCCGGCCCTTGGACAGGCCGGGGAAGGCACAGGGAGGCATTTAAATGCCTCCCTGATCCTTCCAGCGCCCCCCCCCCAGCTCGCCCGCCTCAGAGTCACGGGGGGGGTCACTCTCCAGGCCTTCCCTTTGTACCCACGCACACACAGAGGCTGGAGTTGGCGTAGCCAACTCTGAAGCCAGCCGGAACACCGTTCCTGTGTGTTCCTGCTCACAAATAGCCCCGGAAACCGTCATGTTAAAAACCCTAAAAAAAATTTTTTTTAATCCTTGGGGGGGGGGGACAGTACCCCAGGTGGAACATCCCACCCACTGGCCCCACCCTGGCAATAGAACTGGGTACGGTTGCCAACTCTGGGTTGGGAAATACCTGGAGATTTGGTGGTGGAACATAAGGTGGCCAGGGTTTGGAGAGGGGAGGGACGTCAGTAGGGTATAATGCCATAGAATCCGCCCTCCAAAGCAGCCCTTGTCTCAAGGCGTGCCGCTCTTGAGATTAGCTGTGATTCCAGGGGATTTGCAGGCTCCGCCTGGAGGTTAGTACAAAAAACGAGGGTCACAGTGTTAGGAAGATGTGAAAAGATACATGACACTGTGTGTAAATAACGTTTACTTAAGGTAAATCTATTTTGTGCTTTTTATTTTTATTTTTTTAATTTTCTGCCTGATAGAACTTGAGAGATATAGAATCATAGAATGTTAGAGTTGGAAGGGACCTTGCAGGTCATCTAGTCCAACCCCCTGCACTCCGCAGGAGCAGAGCCGAAAGACAGCCCTAGGACATACCCAAAAGATGGTCATCCAGCCTCCACTTGAAAACGTCCAGCGAAGGAGCCTCCACCACCTCCCGAGGCAGACTGTTCCACTGCTCAACCACTCTTACAGTTAGGAAGTTTCTCCTGATATTTAGCCGGTAACGACTCCCTGTAATTTCCACCCATTAGATCTAGCCTTGCAATCCAGAGCAAGAGAGAATAGATCTGCTCCATCTTCTACATGATAGTCCTTCAAATACTTGAAGACTGCAATCATGTCCCCCCTAAGCCTTCTCTTTTCCAGGCTAAACATACCCAACTCTTTCAGCCTTTCCTCATAAGACTTGGATTCCAACCCTCTCGCCATCCTGGTTGCCCTCTTCTGGACATGCTCAAGCTTGTCAACATCCTTCCTACAATGTGGTGCCCAAAACTGGACACAGGACTCCAGGTGAGGCCTGACCATAGCAGAATAGAGCGGAACTACCACCTCCCGTGATCTAGACACAATGCTCTCCTAGATTAGTTATTATGTTTGCCCCAAGGATTCTGATGGAACCATAGAAATATGCTGCTATTTTAAGAATTTTGTACTCACGAAGAGGATTTATTGTGCCTTATGTCTTGTGTGTATATCACTGTCCTTGAAAAAGATTGTATTCCATAGGGGTAAAGTACTAGAGTCCCCTGGGATCGGTGTATGTGAAACTGACATGGTGCTGTTTTGAATGTCTGAACATAGTGTAAAACCTGCATTTTGATGTATTGTTGTGGTGAATCTATGTTTTGAAATATTTTACACCAATATTTATAAAGAAGAATAGGGAATAAGGAAAAAGCACAAAAGAGATTTACTTTAAGTGTACATTCATTACACACAGTGTTATGTATTTTTTCCTATCTACCTGGGGATTGGCAACCCAAATCCTCCCTCTGTTCACAATGCGAGCCTGTTCACTTCAGGGAGTTGATTCGTTTGTCTCTTTGCAGAATGTGGGGGGACCCTGACTAGCTTGGAAGGCCAGTTCTTCAGTCCCAATCACCCCCACCAGTACCCGAACCTGCAGGTGAGCAACAGCCTGTGCGATCTGATCATGAATTGGAAGAGGGAATCTCATTATGCTGGTCTGGGCAAGCACCCCGCTGGCAATTTCCCAAGCCCTACAGCTGTTTCCAGTGGTTTTGCAATGACTGACGCTGGCTTGATTCCAGAAAAAGCAAAGAATTGTTTGATCCTACCCTCTATTAGGGCGTTTGCATAGGAGCTGCGGTGGCTCAAGTGGTTAAGATGCTGAGCTGCAGGCTATGGAAGGTCGGTAGTTCAGCAGTTCGAGACCCGAGTGTGCCGCATGATGGAGTGAGCTCCCGTCTCTAGTTCCGGCTCCTGCCAACCTAGCAGTTCTAAAGCAAGAAATTGCAAGTAGATAAATAGGTACCACTTCAGTGGGAAGGTAACAGCGTTCCATGCGCCTTGGTGTTTAGTCATGCCGGCCACATGACCACGGAAATGTCTTCGGACAGCGCTGGCTCTTCGGCTTGGAAACGGAGATGAGCACCGCAACCCTAGAGTCGGATTTGACTGGCTTTTGAGCAAGGGAACCTTTACCTTTATAGTGAGGGGTAAAGGTGTTCCCTTGACCTGGACGGCCCAGGCTAGCCCGATCTTGTCAGATCTAGGGAACTAAGCAGGGTCGGTCCTGGTTAGTACTTGGATGTACCACCCGGGCCACCCAGGTCTGGGCTTTAAACCTTAATCTTTTTTCAATATGGTTCCAAAACTCAGGGGCATTCCTCCTTCTGAGAGCCAGTTTGGTGTAGTGGTTAAGTGCGTGAACTCTAATCTGGGAGAACCGGGTTTGATTCCCCATGTTTCCACATGCAGCTGCTGGTGTGACCTTGGGTCAGCCACAGTTCTCTCAGAGCTGTTCTCTCCAGAGCAGTTCTCAGTCAGAGCTCTCTCCGCCCCGCCTATCTCACAGGCAGTGTTCCCTCTAAGCTGAGTTAGTGTGAGCTAGCCCACAGTTTTTTAGCCTCCAGCTCACGTTTTTGTCTTAGCTCAGGAAGGAGGGCTCCAGAGCAAACTAGAGCAAACTCCAGAGCAAAACAGAGCAAACAGTAGCCAAATCGCTCGCTCACAACTTTCATGCCAGTAGCTCACAAAGTAGAATTTTTGCTCACAGGACTCCACAGCTTAGAGGGAGCATTGCTCGCAGGGTGTCTGTTGTGGGGAGGGGAAGGGAAAGGAAAGGAGTTTGTAAGCCACTCTGAGACTCCGAGTGAAGGGCGGGGTAGAAATCCAATCTCTTCTTTTTTTTCTTCTTCTTCTTCCTACACATAGGGAAGGCTTGTCCTAAGATACCAACTGCTACTCCTCGGTATCTAATAAGGATGTATGTTTCCCCCCTTCAGAATGGTCTTTATTTGTATGCAAATGTATGCAGATTTAATCAATTAGCAGTCACGCTTCTAAGGTTTCATTAAGTGGTTGACAGCCTTGAGGATGATTCATCTCAGCAGATTCACGTGCCCTGCTGCCTCAACATCTGGAATGAGTCAGCGTGTCTTGAATCAGCAACCTGACTTTGGGGCAGTGTTGTTGCCAGATGAAGAAATCCCCCTCCATCCTTAATACGTTTTCAGTGATGCACTTAGAGCTGTCTGCAGTTATACTGTGGCCACAAGAAGCCTCTTGAACCCATGAATAGGTGGAGTCCCCCTAGTTGGCTAAGTGAAAAACAGAACCCAGTATAAGACGATCAACCCAGGGTCCCACCAGATGGGGGGGGGGAGGAGGAGGAGAAGGAGGAGGAGAAGGAGGAGAAGGAGGAGAAGAAGGAGAAGAAGGAGAAGAAGGAGAAGAAGGAGAAGAAGAAGAAGAAGAAGAAAGATTGAATGTACACCCCGCCCTTCACTCGGAGTCTCAGAGCAGTTTACAAACTCCTTTCCCTTCCCCTCCCCACAACAGACACCCTGTGAGGTAGGTGGGGCTGAGAGAGCTCTTTTGAGGACTGCTCTTGAGAGAACAGCTCTGAGAGAACTGTGACTGACCCACGGTCACGCCAGCAGCTGCATGTGGAGGAAAGGGGAATCAAACCCAGTTCTCCCAGATTAGAGTCTGCACTCTTAACCACTACACCAAACTGGCGTAGGAAGGAGGAGTCTAGAAAAGTCCTTTGGAGAGTCCGCGGGATGCGGCAAGACAGACCCATCAGCAGAGTCCCTTGGGCACCCTCAGGCCGAAGAGCCAGCCAAAGTCTTAATGGACGGACAGTATGGACCTGTTTCATTCCTACATTTGCTTACCTCCGTTTTGGCCACAGTGGCTGTACACACACTGAGTCCATCACTGCCTTCCATTAAATGTAAAGCAAGGTGACAATTGAGCAAGGGCACCGATCAGGGCTCTTTTTGTAGCAGGAACTCCTTTGCATATTAGGCGACACACCTCTAATTTAGCCAATCCTCCAAGAGCTTACAGTAGCCCCTGTAAGAAGAGCTCTGTAAGCTCTTGGAGGATTGGCTACATTAAGGGTGTGCCGCATAATATGCAAAAGAGTTCCTGCTACAAAAAGAGCCCTAAAACCCTTCAGTTAGCCGGCTATACTTGTCAGCCCATCCAACAGGAGGGGAGGGGCTGTGGCTCAGTGGCAGAGCATCTGCTTAGCATGCAGAAGGTCCCAGGTTCGATCCCCAGCATCCCCAGTTAGAAGGGATTAGGTTTTAGGTGGTGCAAAAGACCTGTAGCTGAGGCTCTGGAGAGCTGCTACCCATCTGAGTATACACAGTGAGTGTGGTGGACCAAGGCTCTGATTCAGTATAGGTCAGTTTCAGGAGATGCTACAAAATAATGGAGCCGAGAGTTCAAAGGAAGCACCTGGGTTCTCACCCAGAGCAAAACCATTGCAGAAGCCTCAAATGCTGCTTCATGACATCCTTGTTAATGGTACTACATCCTTACTATGTCGTTACTGTGTGCTTACTACTTGCTCATCTACTCAGTGCCATCAATGAGTATGATGCATTACAGAGAGCTCTAGGCTGCTGCCAGGCTCTCTGTGGAGCTGTGCTTGCAGCTGCCCGCCGATGCCCGGGCCTTGCCACCGGTGGACCCCCAAACAGACTCACCACCTTGTCTTTCTCCGTCAGCTCTGCCACTGGCACATCTCGGTGCCCGTGGGCCACGTGATCGACCTGCAGTTCCACAACTTCAGCCTGGAGCCGCAGAAGGATTGCATCTTTGACTTTGTGGAAGTGTTCGACAGCGCGGGGATGGGGCGAGGCAGCGTCATGGGCAGGTAAGGCAGCATCCCGGTCAGGAAGATGCTTGGAAATCCAGCCCTTTTCCAAACCGGAGCTTCCGGAGGAGTGACTGATGCTCCTTCCAAGCTGTGAAGTCTTGTGAGCCACTGGCATTAAAGCGGTGAGCGAGCGATTTGGCTGCTGCGTAAATTAGTGTGCTCTGGAGCCCTCCTTCCTGAGTGAAGATGCAAATGTGTGAGCTGGAGGCTAAAAAACTGTGAGCTGGCTCACACTAACCCAGCTTGGAGGGAACACTGTAACCCCGTCCCTGTTGTGGTTCCCAGGTGTTTTCGCAGCAGATGGGAAGGGGTTGTGGCTCTGTGGTAGAACATCTGTTTGGTACGCAGAAGGTCCTAAATTCAATCCCTGGCATCTCCAGTTTAAAAGGGCCAGAAAGGAGGTGATGGGAAAGACCTCTACCTGAAATTCCAGACAGCCACTCTCAGTCTGAGTAGACAAGACTGACGTCGCTGGACCAATGATTCAGTAAAAAGCACCTCCGCGTGTAATCATGTGTGCCAATGGAGAGTCAGATATCAGAATGAGGCTTCAGCAGAGAGCCAGGGCAGTTGAAATGACAAAAAGATCCAAACAATGCCACGAATTGGCTGTTGTAGATTTTCCGGGTTGTCTGGCCGTGGTCTTGGCATTGTAGGACCTGACGTTTCGCCAGTAGCTGTGACTGGCATCCTCAGAGGTATAACACAGAAAGATGGAGTACTCTCTGTGTCAAGAGAGTACACAGAGACACAGAATGTACTCCATCTTTCTGTGTTATACCCCTGAGGATGCCGGTATAACTCTGAGGACAGCCGTACAACCCGGAAAATCTACAACAGCTAATGAGCTCCGGCCGTGAAAGCCTTTGACAGCATAATGTCATGAATATCAGGGCATTTCCCACGTGCCCTGTGGAAAAACATGGTCATTGAAGTGTGCACAAGTTGCGTTTCTGTCATTTCCATGTTGATTGTGTGGGGATGCCCGGTCAGCCAGTTTGGTGTAGTGGTTAAGTGCGCGGACTCTATTCTGGGAGAACCGGGTTTGATTCCCCACTCCTCCACTTGCACCTGGCTGGATGACCTTGGGCAAGCCGTAGTTCTGATAAGAGCTGTTCTTGGAAAAGAGCAGTTTCTGTCAGAGCTCTCTCAGTCCCACCTGCCTCACAGGGTTATCTGTGGTGGGGAGGGGAAGGGAAAGGAGTTTGTAAGGCACTCTGAGACTCCCTTGGGTAGTGAAGGGTGGGGTATAAATCCAATCTCTTCTTCTCTTCTTCTTCATATGCATCACCGTTCACAATGCTTCTGTAAGCTGCTGAAGGTCTTGCAAAAGGGTCGTTCTCGGCACCCCTGTGCCACCCTTCCCACGTGCTTTAGGTGCCTGTAGAACCGTGGCGGCTTCCCGGGGAACTCTGGCCTCCTCTCTGCTGCTCGCAGGTGCCTCCAGCGCTGCAGTCCAGAAGGCAATACTTGTCCCGCGGCTCTCAGGTGACACAAGGAGTCCAATAAGCTTCCGCCTGGCTTTATAAAGCTACAGATTCCGGCCTGGCTCTTCAGTTGGACTCGCGCATCACTTGAGTTGAGTCTGAGCTACTCTCTGTTTGCTCACCTGTTGGTGGACTCATCTGCCAATTTAGGGCTTGGCTTGCCTCCGGAGCGCAAGTATACACAGCTGCAGAAATCTATTTTGTTCCATTTAAACAAAGGTACTTCTTTTATTTCAGGTGTAGGTACTCAATAAAGAGTCCCTGGAAAAGACAATCGTGCCAGGGAAAGTTGAAGGCAGGGTGAAAAGAGGAAGACCAAATGTTCCCTTCCAGAAGTTGGACGTAACTTGATGGCATATCACACACGCACATGGTCTGATTTTGCACAAGGAGCTGCACCGCGGTCACGCCTCCCTTTGCCCCGTTTCCATTGGTCAGTTTCCCACTTGAAGCCGCGATGGTGCATTTTGACCCGCGGCTTCACCCAATCCCCCCCCCCACGGTTTCGTGGTCCTGTTTTTTTGAGGATCACGAAACCGCAAGCAAAATCGGGCGAAGCCGTGGGTCAAAATGCGCCCGCGCGGCTCCGAGTGGGAAATTGACTAATAGAAGCGGGGCAAAGGGAGGCGTGACCGCGACACAGTTCCTTGTGCGAAATCAGCCTCAGTCCAGGTGGTCACAGCTTTCAGTGTGTCAGCGCTGAGCAAGGCTGTCCATGACAGGACATTTTGGAGGTCTTTCCTTCATCGGGTCGCCATACTCAGGAGCGACTTATGGCCCATTAACATGCTCACCTCCCTTTCAAAAAGAGGTCAGGTTTCCCCTCTTGCTTCTGCAGGTTCTGCGGCTCAGAAATACCACTGGTTCTGACCTCCTCGCAACACGTCATGACGGTCCTGTTTGTGACAGATGAGGGAATGGCGGACGACGGCTTCTTTGCCACCTACCGGGCCCACAATGCCACGGAAAGTAGGTGATGACAGTGGATCCTTAGGCCTTCGCCTCGCACTGGCAACGGTCAAACGGGGCCGGCTGGCTCTCTTTTCTGCTTGGGCCGCCACCTCATTTCTTGAGCTCCCTCTCCGGCCTCCCTTTTCTTTCTCTTACGATCACACACACACCAATAATACACTTTCAGTGCACTTTCCAACTTGATTTTACTTTGGGCGATTCTGCACTAGACCTTGAATCCTGGTTCAACCCTGTCCCCAAACTTACGTTCTACATTACACGCAAGTCCAGCCCTGTAATTATCTCGGGGTATTCTTTGTTTCCTCATTACATTGCGGTCACCCCGGTTTCACCACACACTTGTCCTGGGATAAATGGATGCTGTTATAACCAGGGGAAAATGCAAGGTATTGTGTCGCTAGTTGAACTCTGATAAAACCAGGGATGAGATCCAAGTGCAGAAAGGACATGTGCGCAGGGGTCATTTCGTAGAAAAAGAGGTGCAGGAGCTCATTAGCATAACTCATTAGCATAACTCATTTGCATATGCCACACCCCCTGACATCACTGGAAGTGTGTCAGAAGGCAACACCCACCGCTCGGGCTCCACTGGACTGTTTTGGATTGCTGGCTATTGGGAGGGGGGGAACATGCAGATCTCCCCTCACAGAGGAGGGAACGGCGCGGTCTCTGCACCTTCCCTGGCTGCTTCTTGCTCTGACTGAGGGCTACTGGGAGCAGGGGGTGGGGCTTGTTGCATGTGCCCGCCCCCCGGGCTATTTACTGCCGGAGCTCCGCTCCTGTGCACTCCTGCAGCAAATGACCCCTGCCTGTGCGTGACCTGGTAAAATCCAGTTTGAAAGTGGATTGAAAGTGGATTGAAAGTGAAGCCTCTCCCGCTTCAAAACGAAAGGCCAAACAGCCATCTCCCTGAAAGCCCTCCGCTCCTAGGCCTGGCTCTATCCTAGCTGGCTGTGAGTACACACGCTGCTGCTTGAAATGTACTTTGCATATGCTCAGAAACATCCTTTCCTTTTTTTATTGCTATTAGTTCCTTGTGGGCCCAGGACTGGGTTCCAGCATTCAAAGACAAGCCCCAGGGCTCTGCCTTTGGGCTCCGGGCTTAGATAAAGCTCTGTCTCTGGGCGGTTTGGCTAAACTCATCTTAATGATGAATATCTTGTTATTGTCATTATGCAGGAGGGGTGCAAGGGGGATTTTGCAGGGGCCTGGGGGGCGGAGAAGGGAGCAGCAATTCAGACTGAGGTCTGGAGCGACGGGTAGGGGTTAAATCCTGCCATTTTCCTCATGCAGATTTCTTCCTCTTGGTGCCCCTCGGTTGGCATTTGCCCACGCGGATACCTGCCTGTTTTCCTGGGAA